TGGCTACATTCCCCTGGCTCACGAATTTCCTGTTGCCGCAACGCCGCGCGCGGCGACTGCCCCCCTCCCCCGAGCCACATTGCGCCCCAGGGATATGCTATCCGTGGTTTTAAACTTGTTGAGCGCTCTAAACCGCATGCTCCTCCAACTGCAATAGACCCGAACTAGATTCATATTGCACATTCCCAGGTGAATTTCATGCTGTCACAAAGAGTCACAACAACAATTAATAAGAAGCGTACCTGTTCCTCAAATGTGAAAGTTATGTTGGCGCTCGCATTTCCGACCGGTGTGGAGCGATGGTGGTAGGGTCCGCCATGCTGACCCTTGTTTGGACGTACTGAAAGCACGTGTATGAAATTCAACCAAGAACTGCGAATTCACGAGAACAGGCCGGCTCGCGATGGACACGTGTAGTAAGCGTGGCGACTCGCTCCGCCTCTCAGCCACGGTTGGTCGGCTTTGCCACGGATCGGCAGCTGATTGGCTGATTTTAAGAAGGGCGTGTCTTAACAAATCGGAAAACTGCGCACCTCCTGCGGAGGTGATAAAGAGTGTAGCAAACAAGGAGAAATTAGACGGAGCTGGCTGAGCGCCAAGATGAAAGGCGTGGCATGGGCGGGTGTTGGCAGCAACGTGAAGAGTGAGGTCCATTTATTCTCGTCCAACCGGCTCCGTGGACGGTCATAAGTAAGGCGAGGCAAAGTTCTGGTTCCTATGCGGTCATTCCCGCTCTCCATCCGTTGCCCTCATTTGGGTACAGTCACTTGATCCTAATAAGTATGTGAATGGCTTTTTCTACTTGTAATGGTTGTTTTACTTACCTTGCTGATTTCCATGAAGCTCCATTCAGTGAAAGCCTCACGAAATAGCCGCCGAGTGGAGATCTTCATTTTAATCAGCCAATGACATTTCCCGGTTTTGATTTTTTTTTTCGTTTTGCAACACAAACGAATGTCAGGCTCAGTGCTTGTTCAATCGCCGAGTCTGACATCCACCCACATAGTAATCAAAAAGTCCTGTAACGATTCAGTTCAGTTTTTTTTTCTCAAATGAATGCTAGTCAGCTTTCATCTGGGTTTCCACAAAAGAATTTGGCCTAGTCTGTATAAGAACTTGTTGTGTTGAAAAGCATACTGCACACCCCGCTTGGTTTTAAAATGTTGGCTTCAGATTCAGGGACTCTAAGAACCAGACAGATCGGTATTCCGCTCTTCTATACAGCAAGTACTGCCTTGGTTTTGTCCACACAGTCATACTCTTCTTGGCTTGAAGGAAGCATGAGTTCCACTATGTTATAGTTATCTCCACTGTTTACAACCATCAAGCTCGATTAAGTGAGAGTCGGCGAAAGGTATGCGGTCAGTTTTCGCAAGGATGTTGTGTTTGCAGTGCCAGGCAGTAGAGGTCGGGTGTGCCCTTTTGTTTGATCACTTCCGCCATCTCACCGTTTCCGCTATTTGGCCTAGGATCTTAGCCTTGACCTCGCCTGTCACAGGCTTAGAGGGGAAGTGATAGCACTTTAAGAAGGCAAGTTTTCTTCCTCGTGTTATCGCTGATGAATTCGGTTGTGTTAAGAAGGGAGAGGGAAAACATGATTAGCCTAAATCGAGCTGTCGATTTTGAACGCTTAGATATAGGTTTGCCAATGTAGTGTGATAAGATTAGGAGGATTTCTGAACAGCATAAAGAATTTGTCCTTGGTTTAGAGCTCGAAACAAGGGTGAATGCTAGCGTGGTAGTAGAGTTGTGTATATTATGTAAGGTAATGAATTGGTACCGTATAATCGAACGAAGAGATCGCATATTGTGTGAAAGTCCTTGAGACAGTTGCAAACTGGAACAGTGTTCTCCAGGATCGTTTGGTAAAAAGGTTTTGATTTCAACTTGGTTCTCCGAACGCAAGCACAATGACTCTTAACTGTTGGATATCCCAGATTTGTTTGTTACGAACAAAAAGGTTGGAGTGAGGTTTTGTGCTCCGCTGCTTAGTACGCTACGCAAATAGTTATCGGGTCAACAATGTTTGACCTCGTTTCGCTAGGTTGATAGAGCCAAAATTGCCAGTGCCATTTCGAATTAGAGTGCTTATTTGTCGAAATTAAGATAAAAGTACAGGGCATCGACGTAAGTATGACTCGACATGCTTCACAGTATAAACAAAAAAAGAATGGAATGAAAATACAGTTCGGTTGAGAATTTCTTAGTAGTCCTCAAATTTCCTATGCTAAAAAAATGCAATGCAACTATGCATGATCCAGTAAACAATTATTGTTGCTCTTTCATAGCAAGCTAACATCTTCTAATAGTTTTTTTTTGCCTGCAGTTTCTGGAGGTCCTCTACTATATTCTCTCGTTTATACATTTCGCAGTTAGTTTAACATTTCTCAGACTCTTCGCTCGGATATTTTGTGTAGTTCCCATTCAGTTTAACTGTTGAATTGTTTATTGCTCGATTCTGCTGTTCGGTTTCCCGGACGGATACACCTGAACAAGTACTTCTTTTCTTCCTTTCCTAAATCCACTGTTCCGGGACGAAGGATAAATCTCACCATCATGTTGTCACCTATAACAGTACAGGAAACAGCGCTGATCCCACCTACTTTCTAAACCCTCTAGTTGTTAGTAACCTTTCTCCTTTTTTAACTTTCTGTGAAATGTTCATCTCCTCATTTTGATCAATCCCTCAATTCTACTTCTATCATGCGCGTGTTTCTACCACATTCATGAACTGAGAACAAATCACAGTAGTTCATACATTGTCAGATAATGAAGAATGGGCGCACTAATTGAGTAATTCTGTGGTTTCTGCAGAAAACAGTGGATCGAATGAGATGCTGCGTGGAATGAAATGATGTTGAGATTACTTATGAAACACTATTAGCTGAATCACAAACCAACATCTCCGTGCCATCTACTAGTTCTCGAATTATAGATTTATTGGAACATTTTCATAGCAATTTTTTGTTACAGTGATGAGGAAACGATCAAACTCGAAGGGCTCTCAGCAGAGCAAGTCAAGGAGTTACACGCAAAGGCTGAAAAACACGAATTTCAGGCTGAGGTTTGTTTGAGGTTTCAGCTGCAGCCAAGGGAAAATACTCTTTCTGTGAGCGATAAATAGCAACTGCAATACTTTCAGGTGAATCGAATGATGAAACTGATCATCAACTCACTCTATCGAAACAAAGAAATCTTCCTTCGAGAACTCATTTCTAACGCTGCCGATGCCCTGGATAAAATCAGATTAACTTCCTTGACCGATCCCAGTGCCCTTCAAACCAACGAAGACATGAGTATAAGGATAAAAGTTAGTGTGCTTCTTCATCAATATATTAGTAGTGTCTTTTCAATACAATTCAAGCAGTGCATGGTGTTCTTGAAGTGCCTCAAGTATTTAATTTTTTCCAGGCTGACAGGGAGAACAAGCTCCTTCATATCACTGATTCCGGTATAGGAATGACGAAAGAAGAACTCATGAATAACCTTGGAACCATTGCTCGATCAGGTACAGCGGAATTTTTGTCAAAGCTTATGGATACCTCAACCTCGACGGACGTTCAACAGGTAAGTTCTAAGTTCAAAGTCAAGTGAAGAATTGCAGAAACAGTTGAGCAGTCATGAAGTAACCAATAATTTAGGAGCTGATCGGACAATTCGGCGTCGGTTTCTACTCGGCTTTCCTGGTAGCTGACCGTGTAGTGGTTACCACAAAAAGCAACGATGGAGAACAATACATTTGGGAATCTGATTCCGGCTCTTTCTCAATTGTGAAAGACCCTCGGGGACCTACTTTGAAGCGCGGAACGCAAATCACTCTACATATGAAGGAGGAAGCGAATGATTTCCTGGAGCCTGACACCTTGAAGAACCTAGTGCACAAGTATTCGCAGTTCATTAACTTCAGCATCTACTTATGGCAGTCCAAGACTGAAATGGTTGAAGAACCTGTTGAAGAAGAGCCTACAACAAAGGAGGATGGGGCTGTGGAGGAAGAGAAGGAAGAGAAAAAGACCAAGAAAGTTGAGAAAACTATCTGGGACTGGGAGCGTGTAAACAATGTGAAACCAATCTGGATGAGGAAGCCAAGCCAAGTCGAACAGGATGAGTACGACGAATTCTACAAGAGCATCACAAAAGATTTCGAGAAGCCGCTCACCCACGTACACTTTTCAGCCGAGGGAGAAGTGTCGTTCCGTTCAATTCTTTATGTGCCAAAGACGTCTCCTAGTGACATGTTCCAAAACTATGGCAAGATTGTCGAAAATATCAAATTATACGTACGACGAGTATTCATTACTGACGACTTTGCTGACATGATGCCGAAATATCTTTCGTTCATTCGCGGTATTGTGGACTCGGACGATCTTCCGCTCAATGTATCCCGTGAAAATCTTCAACAGCACAAGCTTCTAAAAGTGATTAAAAAGAAACTCGTACGAAAGGTTCTGGATATGCTGAAAAAGCTGGAAGGAACGCAATTCGACGATTTCTGGAAAGAGTTCAGCACAAATATCAAACTGGGAGTCATGGAGGATCCAAGCAATCGAATTAGGCTTGCCAAGCTGCTTCGGTAAGCGCAATGTGCAGGGTATGCAATGTCGCTGCTGGCAGTCATTTATGGTGTTAACTATTTTTTAGGTTTGCGTCCTCTGCTGACAAAGAAAAGCTTACATCTTTAACTGATTACGTTGAACGGATGAAGGAGAAGCAGGACAAAATTTACTACATGGCGGGAACATCGCGCCAGGAAGTTGAAACCTCACCATTTGTAGAGCGCCTTATCGCCAAGGGATACGAGGTACGCTTCAACTAAAAATTTCTGCAAGCAGTTCAAACCTTACGGTGTGGACTTCTTCTGGCGGTCATATCTCGGTTGATACTTCTATTCGCGTGAATGGTTCCGCATTTTGCAGGTATTATACTTGACGGAAGCTGTTGACGAGTACTGCATTCAGTCAATGCCGGAATTCGAGGGGAAGAAATTCCAGAACGTTGCTAAGGTGCTTTTAAAGCGATCATCAATTTTTTGGATATACTTCGTGTTGTGGATCACAAAAGAGGAGAACACAAAACCATAGTCATTTAGCCATCTTTCCAATATTTTATTTTTCAAGAATGATTTTAGAAAATTGAGTTTTTCAGGAAGGAGTGACCATTGATGAATCTGAGAAGGCGAAGGAATCTCATAAGAACCTCGAAAAGGAATTTGAACCTCTAACTTCTTGGCTTAAGGAGACTGGACTGAAAGTATGCTTTTTACCGGCCTATTTTTGTTTTTTGTGCACGTACTTCCATTGCAAACTTACTTTCAAAATGTTCCTTGGACCGTTTACATAGTTCAAAGTTATTTGTATTATATTGCAGGGATTAAGTTTGTTTGTTGTAGGATTTGATTGAGAAAGCTGTCGTTTCACAACGACTTGTGAAGTCTCCATCGGCCTTAGTGGCATCATCATATGGTTGGTCAGGAAATATGGAACGTATTATGAAGAGTCAGGCTTATGCTAAAGCCAAGGATCCCTCACAAGATTTCTATGCTAGCCAGAAGAAGACCTTCGAGATCAATCCTCGTCATCCAGTAGTGAAGGAGCTACTTCGTCGTGTTGTTGAAGATAAGGAAGATCAGAAAGCCAAGGACACTGCACTTCTCTTATTCGAAACTGCCACCCTCCGATCAGGATTCTCTCTCAAGGACCAGGTTAGTTCCGCTGTTACATTTAATGGTATATGTATGCTACTGTTTGCTGCAAGGCCATCTTTTAGGTTGGATTTGCGGAACGCATCGAATCGGTCCTTCGACAATCACTTAATTTGGCTGCTGATGCAGAAATTGAACCAGAGCCAGTCATTGAAGAAACTGAAGAAGCTGATGACGTTTCAGAAGAATCGACCACGGAGGATTCTGCCAAGGAAGAGACCAAGGTGGAAGAAGAACACTCTGAGCTTTAGTTTTTCAGTAGAATTGTGCAATAATCAGTGTGACCTACCTTTGTTGTAATTGTTGGTGGTCTGTTGTGATCAAGGGATTTTGTGATCCCATCTCTTTGCATCGTCTCATTGATACGGTTTCCGTTTTGTTGTTTTTTTGTGTTATGAGGGTAATAAATATTTATTGATATGATATTGCACAGTAGTTTTTTGATTAACTGTAGAGGCTAGTTTATGTTTCAGATATAACCATTTTGAGACAGCGATTCGGTATTGGACAAGACTTCTGCTACGATTTCTGAATTTCAAACTCAACCAAATTTTGACTTTGTTCATGGCTGGCACTGTGTTATCTATATGACCACCGATTGATGGGTATCTATTCGTGGTCTGTGTCGAATACCACGGTTTTTTGACGCTATATCTAAAACTGTTTCTAATGCACTTTAAAGACAACATACTCGACGTCTATGAAAATTATTAGGTTGTCCCATAAGTCTGTGCCACTTTTTCGGATTTTGCGCCAGAAGTTAATTAGCGATTTCTTATTATGCTTGCGTACAAACGAATTATGCCCGTCTTAGCAGATTTCTTTGAGTTCAGAATGACAAAAGAAAAGTCACACTTCGATCATAATCTTCCAATTAGCCACAAAAGACCGGAGCCAGGCGAAATATTTGCATCGCGATACGACTCCTTATCCTGGCCCACCGCGGTACAGGAATGGTCAAATCTGCTTCGCACTGGGGATTACGGTTTAGAAGAAACTCTTGTTCGGAAAGGTCATCGGCGTCAGACTTGGACCAGCTGCGCTGTCTCGCTGAAGTCAACCCGCACGAGTCAACCGGCTCTGTGGCCGCTACTTTAAAGGCAGGGTTCACGATTGAGAAACAACCCATTTCAAATTAACTTAGAGATGGTGAGTGGTACACGAAAGAAGGAAAACCATGAGAAACGGCCCAGAACCCGAAATGGGACCCCTTCCTTGCCCGTTGATTTGCGCATTGATGCGACTCTCATCGCTGTGCCCTCTTCAACACTACGCTCTCTCTGCTATCTAATCACTCGCCACGTATAGACCTGCGGCGAGTGATTAGATGTCGGTGGGCGTACCCGCCAACCGCGCCAAGAGTGAGCCATGCTAGGTCGCCGAGGTCAAATCTTTCGGTGCCAATTGCGCGTTCAGTTCGCACCCTCAGAGAGGTTCGCCGGCTCTCAACTTGGTGAATTACTTCTCCTTCGACCTTCATTCCATTCGTGATTTCTTCCTTTAGGTGTCAGACATACAGCTCATAAATGTCTTCGCTCTGATGGGAAAGTGCTAAAGCTTGGCCGAAACGATCTTTAAAGCGAGAAATTACGATAAAATTTCTGTGCAGCATGGAAGAACGAGCAGCACTTCAAGCAGTAGCTAGAGCCCAAAGGAATCGAGATGTGGCCTTTTTGTGACTAAAGGTGCGCTCGTTGCAGCGCCCTGGGGCTGCCAATCCTTTCTGAGCTCCGCCTCCGCCTGTGCTCCGCCCCTCAGCAGATCGCTGTTCGATTATCATTCTGATAAGGTATGCCACTTCGAGCGCGTATCCAATTTTTTCTCATGGAATGCTATATCAATCAAGGTATGATCTCTGGTGGTATGATGGCAGCTATGGTTTAACGAGTGCCGACGACCTCTTAGTTGGTTGCCAACTCGTCCATTATCGGAGGTCAACGGGCAGAGGAAGTGGTCCCATTTTGCGCGTTTTTGACGGATTTCTTTGCTTTTTTCGCTACTAGGGCATTATTCAGCATCTTCACTTCCACTATGAGCACAACAGAATCCTATCGCAATCTCTCGCTTTAAGAAGCGATTACGCAAAGGAATTTTCCCATCAGGGAAGACCCTGCGTCACACGGAGCAATTACTTGGCCGCCAAGGAAGAGATGTGTGGCCCTCCCACGGCGGAAGGTGCCGCGGTTGCTGAGCAGGACCCGTGCGACGCCCCGCCCTATGCGACGTGACGCCCACTAGTTCTGTTGATGATCTGGATGGGCTGTTTGCTGTTGGCTTTTCATTTTGGATGATCATTTCACCTTCTAGCGGCTGTATCTTCCAACTTGCCCACGTATTGCGTTATCAATCAGTACACTATGCTTGTTGGCAAGATGGCGGCTATCGGGGTTAACACGTCTGAACAACGTCGTTCTTCACCGTCGCTCATCGGTGGTCGAAAATGAAAGGGCAATCAAAGAGGTGTTATTCTGCTTATTTTTGACAGATTTCTTTGCTTTTTTCGCCATTGGTGTATTACTGAGACCCTCACGTCCACTCCAAACCCTGTGAAAATCATTGTAATACGCTTCCTTATAACGAATCCTTCACGGAAAAATCATGATTCTATTTTAGCCATAATTCACTGGCTTGAGACCCATCGTCCACGATAAGATTGAAAAGAACAGAAAAATTGCATTTGTTTTGGTAAAAAAAATCGAAAAACCGAAAGGGCTGCTACGCGTTCAAGTTACCGCCGCACATCTGTCACAAATGCTGGCGACGAGGATGATTCCACTTGGTTCTTGGAGTGCCGTTCACTAGAAACTCTTTCTGGCCTTTTGACTCGTTGCACTCTCATCTCACTTCTACTCCATCCTATCCTATAGATCGACTTGTGTCTACTCTCTAAAATCGCAAGCTTTAACCCGATTCTTTCATTGCGTCGCCTGATACGTAGGCGCCCCAGTGCGGCCCCGCCTTTGGCTCCGCCCGAATTACCTTCGATTGTCCATAGAATGGATTTTCGTGAGTTTGTTTCTCTTCGGAAACCGAATCTTCATGCGTGAAACTTTGTGTGCTGCATCCAGTGATCACAACTGACACATTCATGTTAGAAAGAATGCAAGAATTTTCCGCGAAGGATTCCTTTAATGTTCTGACCAGTGGTGACAATAGTACGAGACAAGCAGACTGCAAATTTTCTCACAGCCTCCCTGCATGAACTCGTATGTTGACTCTAGGCAGTAAGGCAAGTGACTGAACCGACTAGGAGGACTTGAAAAGGTAACATGTCCAGCCAAGGGTTAAGCATTTGGTGGGTGTTCGCGGGTAAACCACCAGGAACCATCTCGCTCTGGCATTGAGACTATGAAGGACTGTTGTGATCAAGGCGAATGCCGGTGGGAGCACAATAGGAAGTGTCGCTAAAAAGTGTGTCGTTTCACATCAGCCGAGACCACATGTTTGAAAGAATGCACAACTAGAATTTAAGCTTACAAGGAAGGTCTTTCAGGGCGTGCCAAGCTTTTTGAAAACGGTCTTTTGCATGATATAGGGGCACATGCGGGACCACAGAACCATGGTTCAATTTTTCCTGAACGGCCCTCTGAATACCAGAAAAGGGAGTGTTCACAAGAATGCTGGGTTGTGAACAAAACTTTCGCCCCAGGCGGGACTAGAACCCGCACCTCTCGCTTTCCGGGCAAGTGCGCTACCAGTTACGCTAGTTACGCCAGTTACGTTACCAGTTACGCCTGCGCTGCGCTCTGAAACATTCGCAAGGCGAACTGCGGCCAAAAACAGCAGTTAACACACAAAAACAAGAAAAGGGAGTATTTTTCACCAGTTTTTCAATCAAAGTCTATTTGTAAGGGTTACTGACGTTCCTAATCATGAATTTGGTACTAATTATTCATGCTAACTCCATTTTGCGCGAATTTTGGAAACGTCAACTCGAAATGCAAAAATTTTGTCACCACGAGGAATCGAACTAGGGACCCCTTTTCTGGTATTCAGAGAGCCGTTCAGGAAAAATGAACCATGCTTCTGTGGTCCCCATATGTGCCCCAATGTCATGCAAGAAACCATTTTGAAAAAGCTTGGCACACCCTGAACGGCCTCCCTTGTTAGTAGAGAAGCACTACCAGATCCATCGAATAGTGCTGACTGTCCTCCCGAATGTTGCCTTTTCAGCATTCATTCTGCGGACAAAAATACGATACAAACAAGCACCCCGGAACTGACCTCACCGCTTTTTTCAGCTCGAATGTGGCCCCCTTCCGAGAAAATCGCATCCATTTTTCGGTCACTGGTTGGCAACTGGCTGATAGTGATGCGTTCACGATACTGCTGATAAGATATATGCTTTGTGCTGAAAAAGTCAATTCAAAAAAAAAATGCCTAAAGTGGCAGCTGACTTCTGGCCCATCGCCTAATAATTTTTGATCATTGCCCTATTAAGCCTCACCTTATAATCAATCATCTGATTAGGTGGCTTAACGGATCAGCTGGTGGCCGCTGAGCTTAGACTAAGAGACGTGGATGACTATTCGTTCAACGCACTTCGCTGAAAATTAGCAAAACATACTGGAAACAACTTATTCACACGGCTTCTATCAGGCGCGGCCACTGACACGTCAATCGTAGACCCGCCTAATCAGACGGCCAGCTACTATATAAACTGTAACCATTAGCATTGTTTCACAAGCAGTACTAAATGATGATGGGAATGAGGGGTAGGACTAGGTATGTAATAATGCGTCGTGGCTCTGAGCGTTATCCGATATTCCTATCCGAAACCTGCCAGCTGACTTGGAGGAATGAAAGGTTAGGTTAGACTGTCTGACCCGTAGACCACATAGGATTGCGCGACAATTCCTGTCACCTCACTATCAACGATTTATTTCAGTGAGAGGGAAGTAGGGCTACGGTAGTTTGCAGATAATTCCGAAGTTTTTTTTAGATCTTATTTTTGATTGAGATTTATACAGTGCGTACCAAAAGTATGTGGACACCCTGGAATCGATTCTCAGGGGTCAGCTAAAGGCTTTTTTATGTCATGAAACCTCCACCATTCAACTCCTAGTGGTCGATAACCTACAATGATATTTTCGGCAAAAGATTTCGTTCTAACTTAGCGAACTATTTTTCATGGAATCTCCTTGTAATCAAATAGTATGGGAACATTTGAAAAACGGCAATATCTTCAGAATCTGAAATTGGTAGGCCTACCAAAGTTTCTAGTAAGTTGAAGCCATTCTGTTTGGCATGCTATGAATGGGTCTGGATACATGTCTTGCAGATCTGTTCCCAACTAGCAAATTTCACCGACGTGTTAGGTCACTTGTGATATTACTCTTTTGTTCAATGACGTAGAGACCGCGAACCACGATACCTCTACGTTTTCAATAAGGATGAAGTCTGAGGAATACGCTAGCCGACTTGCCAATCAAAGCCGTTGCGTTTAGCATTTTTCCAAATGGAATGGTGTCAGGGACCTCCCCTGCAAAACAAGTGATTTGCAACCATGACTTTTCGAAAAAGGTTGTAGCCGGGACTCAAGCACCTCATTATAATCCTAGTCGTCTACCTGACATGTTGGCAAGCCAAACTTCAATGTCCCCTCCTTTTGGAACCACCCCAGACCTTTGATGAACATCTTCCGAATTGTCTCTTCGAGCACATCTGCGGGTCCGACCAAAGTCTCTCCAAAAACCTCAAGACCCACCCGAATAGTAAGGAATAAGCTTCTTTCTGCCAGTCGAGTTGGTCTATATGAGAAATTTCCCACAGAAAGTCTTTTATACTAATTTTACCATTTCCACGAAAGCACTGTCTGTGTGGGTTCAAAGTATCATGTTGTGATCCTTTTTTGAGTGGGAATTCCAACCTTGCCAACCTGAACCCGCATTCATATACAAAGCCTTCTTCATCTTCTTTCGTGTCGTGTGCTCAATTGATTGAATGAGACACCGATTGGTCTTTTTTAAGATCGGGAAGATCATTTATGCGTAAAGTTGAGTAGTACGAAAAGAAAAATTTGAGAAATTAAGGCTATTGTTCTGCTGTTCTGAACAAGTAGCGATTGAGAACAACCCTCAGTCTCATATCGAAAGCTGTAGCTTTCATGATTTCGGTTCTCTCCAAATTGAAAGAGACGCAAGGCGGCGTGAGTCTATTTTCGCAATACTAAGGTTCAAAGACGGGGTATGGTCTTCTTCAGAAAAACGCTTGCCGTGAAGAGGAATGATGCCAGAATAAGTAACGAAAGGAGAAGTAAAAATAGGTTAGGAAATCGATGCAAAAACTTCATCTGCCTCAGGGTGTCCACATAATTTTGATACAAAGAAAAACTTTCCATGAAAAATAGTTCGCTAAGTTAGAACGAAATCTTTTGCCGAAAATGTCATTGTAGGTTATCGACCACTAGGAGTTGAATGGTGAAGGTTTCATAACACAAAAAGCCTTTAGCTGACTCCTGAGAATCGATTCCAGGGTGTCCACATACTTTTGGTACGCACTGTATTATAATAGAAATGTTGACGAATTTTCCTGTTTCAGTGGGTCGTGAAGAGATTGGCACAAATGACAAAAAAATGAAAGTGAATCTTAGGGTTGTTCGTTAGTAAGGAGGAGCATTTCGGTGCAACAGTTCGCGCGGATTATCCCAACTTTGCACAAACAGTCCTTAGAAGCATAGAAATGATATTTTTTTCGTGCTAATTTCCGGATTTTTTCACATGCAAAGGCTTTTGTGGATAGTCTGGCTAGGCGAAGAAAATATGAACGAGGGAGGACCATTCCAGCCATTTAGACTAGGAAACGCTTCGAGTACAGGGGTGATGTGCTAACAACCGCCTCCCGAGGGGATGAGAATTGTGGCATGTTCCACGAGAAATGAATCTGCCCGGGCTTCTTGCCCGGATTTTGGCATATGAGGAACCGTTTATCCATTTTGCTCTAAATATTCCTCGACAAAATTAATGATCGGAGAGGGGATAGCTAGGAGATTAAAAGGCACGACAGAATGTGGGAAGGAGACCAGATCACTCCTTAGGAGGATGGGGGTGGTCGTGTGACTTAAAAAAAACAATGATACAAGAACCAATTAATTCTAACATGATTCTAGACCGAATGTTCCGTAAAATATAATACATCCTCTGAATTGGCATAAAAGTGTACAACGCCTCTTCGGGATAAAAGTTGTCTTAGTCAATCTCGTGCACTACCGACCCTCTATCCAACCCAGCTCGTTGCCTTCTTTTCTTTCTTCCTACAACGTTAGTGACAAGCGGTTTCAACAGAAATGGTAGCAGAGCTTGCTGACGTGTCATTCGTGAGAATAGGAACCATAATAGCGGCACTAAAACGAATGTTATCACCAAAGGAATTTCGTTTTCGATCACAGGCGAAGAATTCGTTTGGGACCATCTTTTGGATGAACCAAAACGATCAATACTGAGAAACTATCACTAGCAGTAACACACCACGTTACAACCGCTTGCTTGGCCCGTGTTAATGTATCTACTGGTGATCAGAAAAAGAACAAACCTCTCTGGTCAAATATTCAAATAGTTTACTCTCAAAGTCACAATATAATTGATGATTTCAAAAAATTCAATCTTCGCATGCAGTTCTACATTAACTAAAGAAGAAAAGATATTTTGTCAAAATCAGTAGATACAATAACACCTTTCATTTTGAAAATTATAGAGACAATCGTAGTAAAGCACAGATAACGAATAAACCAGCCTTCATCGTCATACAAGCATGCAAATTGAAAAGAAAAAGAAATAGCACATGTATTATACATCACGTGAACATTTTGTTCACACATTCTAAAAACAAGGGCAAATTTCTCTCCGCCAGTATATCCAAGAAGTCTTCCTTCTACAACAGTTGTTTATTAGTCTATGTATAATAAATAATACTTGATATCTAACTCTATACCTCATCTGTGAGCATCATAGCCCTATTCATAATTAGGCAGTCAGCAGCACATCTTGTTTTGGTACAATCTTGTGCGTGGCCGATTTTCATTTTTCTGTCCTGGAAGGAATGCTACTCTGTTCGACTGCAAAAGGTGAGATATGTGGCTAGTTTTCTTGGAGATAATTTTGTCACCTCGCCGAGTCCTAGGCTGTCCATGGCAACTTCAATTTCCTTTTCATCTCGTTTTTTGCCTTCATGTGGTACAACAGATTGCACTTCTTGAGCTGATTTGGAAGTCATCGAAGATTTGACGTTCATGAATGGAAGAAGCACCTTAAAGGCGGTAAAGTTACAGGGTTCATAAGATGATTTCAGTATGTCATGTTGAAGGACCGAAAATTAACAAGCCGAATGTAATAAAGAAAAAAAGTAGCGTCAAACACGTTATGTTACCGAAAAAAAAAACAAAGAATACATCTGAACAATGAAAAGATGCGTACGTAATCAGGCGGCTCTTCATTTCCTATCGACACAACAACAAATGGTGTGCGAGCAGACCTTATGGCACCTGTCTCCGGCGAAGACCGCGTAATCCAATACAGTGAAACTAAAATAACTGAGTTTATCTTCCAAAATTCGTTTAACGGGAAGACAGCAGTTGACAAATGCGATCGTTCCCGAGCTGCACCGAGAACGAATATCGAGACGCAGAAACGATTTCCGCGGGGACCGCATAAGATATGTAACTCTAATCTTCATCGTAGCCGTCATAACGCATTATAGAAAGCGAGCCCGAAACAGGCGACTTTTCTCACAGTTCAACCAAAAAATAATTAAATGAAATGCTATAAACGTAGGTCGCCACAAATATAACTAGCCACTCACCCCTTGTATGATAACCAGTCTGATCCAGGCCTACTACCATTGTGGGTCTGCCTGCACTCTCCTGACCCCCAACACCTACAATACAAATCTACAGTAGGGCGGGAACCAAGAAATACACACACAACCTCACCCAAGTAGCAGTCGTGTCCTTCTTCTTGTATTGTGGTCTTCCACCGAGTCCGCCCGCATCTGCAGTCACCTGGAGTGACGAGGCCACCTGCTCTTCCTCCACCTCTCCATCCCCTAAATGTCAACTAAACCCTCCACACACATATCACACACAGCTGTATTGTGTTCATATTACGTCACCTGTATCACCTGTCGTCCCGTTGATCGTCGATTTGCTCGAGCGGGCGCCAGCAACGTCTCCATTCGTCCCTGTCGCGTGCTAGGGTGGTCCAGTGGATCCTCCTTGCTCGAGGGACACGAAGTCCATCATTCCTTTCGTTCAGAGCTTTCGTGAAGAAGTCTGACCATCGGGCCGGCGGTCGTCCAGGTGTTCGTTTGACGTCCCGAGGGATCCAGTCGGTAACCGCTCTGGTCCAACGGTCATCGCAAAATCGCATGACGTGTCCGGCCCACCTTATCTTCGATTCCTTGGCGAAAACGGCAGCGTCCCTGATCTTCGATCGTTGGCGTAGTTCGGCACTCCGGATTCCCCTCTGCACTTGCGTGTATAGGGTTACTCCTAGCATCGTCCTCTCGACAGCGCGTTGGATAACGCTGACCGCATGCTCGTCCTGCCTGCGCAGAGTCCAAGTCTCTGAGGCGTAGGTTAGGGCAAGGAACTGCGAATCGAAATCAAAGAGGTGGGCACGGAGCCGGATGTTCTTCGTCTTCTTCACTAACTCCCTCGATGTTCTTATACGCTCCCCAAGCCGCTCGTTTCCTCCTGCTCAGCTCTGGAGCTAGATCGTTCATCATATTGATTTCCCGACCTAGGTACACGTAGCTGGAGCATTCGGTGATGTTCGTTCCGTTGAGCGTGAATGGGGCATCAGGAACCAATCCGTTTCTCATAAACATCGTCTTCGTTAGGTTCAGCTGTAGACCAACCTTACCACAGGCGCAGTCGAAATCAGCCAGCATTCGCTCCGCTTGCTCGATGTTCGGCGTTATAAGAACGATGTCGTCAGCAAAACGAAGGTGGTGTAGTTGCCGGCCGTCGACCTTCACTCCCATGTCTTCCCATTCCAGTTGACGCATGACGTTCTCGAGAGCGGCGCTGAAGAGTTTGGGCGAGATGGTGTCGCCCTGTCGAACCCCTCTCTTGACGTCGATGATGACCTCCTTGTAGAATGGTGAGATTCCTGGTCGTAAAGTTGCTGTAGAGCTCACGAAGAATCTTGATGTACTGAGTAGGGACGCCCTGGTTGCCCAAGGCTTCGATGACCGCTTCTGTCTCCACAGAGTCGAAGGCCTTCTTCAAGTCGATGAACGTGAGACAAAGCGGCATCTTGTACTCTCGTGAAACTTCAATGAGTCTTGTAACCGTGTGGATATGGTCGATCGTGCTGAACCCTCTTCGGAACCCTGCTTGCTCGCATGGCTGTCCTTCATCTAGTATTCTGCCGATCCTGTTAAGGATGACTCGAGTGAATAGCTTGTAGATTACAGACAGCAGGCAGATTGGGCGATAGTTGCCAATGTCGTCCGAGTCGGTAGCGACAGGTAGCGCGTGAAGAGTCGAGCCAGAGTTTTGATGATAACTGGCGGCGCATTCTTCAGATGTTCCGGTTTGACCCTGTCGAGACCGGGTGCTGTACGATTCTTCACCGACTTGATGGCGTGTCGGACTTCGGAAGAGAGAACTGAGGGGACGACGTATCCATCCTGTTGCAGTTGATAAGTGGGCAGATGGACATGGCTATCGAAGAGATCCGAGTAGAAGTCGTGGATGACTTTCTCCATTGCCCTTCGGGATGCAGTAACTGTTCCATCCGGACGTCGGAGGCAGGTCATCTTGGTCTTGTAGCTGGCAAAGCTTCGGCGGGCATTGCGGATGCTCCTCCCAGCCTCTGCTGCTTCAGCTAATACTGCTGCTCTTCGCTCCTTGAGATCTTCCTTTATCGCCTCTCTGCATAGCTTCGCAAGCTCGGACGTGAGTCGGTGATTGCCTGCAGCTCGTGCGGCTCCACGCTGGCGTATCAGTTCGAGAGTTTCCGGAGACAGACGTCCCTTGGTGACTTTCAAACTCTCTGCCTTCTTGCCACAATCGTGAAGATGTTCAACGAGCCGATAGTACTCCTCGTCGATGTTTTCGATGACGGAATCCTCCCATAAGCTGACGAGGAAGCGAAGTGGTCCCAGTTGATGACTGTCCTGGGGCTTCGCTTCCTGAACTTTGCTGCTCTCTCAACACGCATCGAGAAGTGGAATCTTGCGCGGAGGAGACGATGGTCCGATCCCGTGTAGAACTTTGGAACAACAGCGACGTCGGTCAGGCAAAACCTTCGATTGAAGATGATGTGGTCTATCTCGTTATGGAACTGTCCATCAGGTGACTCCCAAGTCCAACGAAGGTGAGGGGGCTTTTGGAACTGTGAGTTACCATGGATGGTGTTGGTCGACATGATAAACTCCGACAGTCTCTCACCCTGCTCATTCCATTCCATTCCGTGAGTACCGATGTGAAGTTCTTCAGCCGTTCTTCTTGGGCCAATCTTAGCGTTGAAGTCGCCGACGATGACCTTGAAGAAGGTATGATCTTCCCTGTAGAACTTCTCCAATTCCATATAGAATGCTTCGTGTTCCTCCTCGTCGTAGCTGGATGTTGGTGCGTAGGCGACGAAGATTGTCAAAGCAGGAGTTGAACCACATCTTCTCAATCTCAAACGTCCGATTCGGGTCGTAAGGCTTTCGTACGAATCGATGTTTATGGCCAAGTGCGTGTTGACGAGGACACCCACACCGCCAACGCCTCTGCTGTCGCATGTCCAAGGAACAGTTCTTCTCCAGTATCGAAAACGGCGTGTAGCGGGCGGTGCCTTCTCGTCTCGGTCAGTCCGATGACGTCGTACTTGATCTTCCTGGCCTGCATCATCAGATCTTCGATGTGAGCTTCGGATGCAAGCGTTCGTGCGTTGAAAGTACAGATCGCCATCTTAGTCCTTCTTCGTTTAGGCAGCCTATCCGGGCCCTGAGATTCTAGCAGCCTCTCCCGAGCGGTCCTACCCAACGCTGCCGTATTGGGGGCTCCCTCAGGTTCAGGGGAATGAGGCCCATCCATATTGCTGTTTTCGGCATATTGAAGGCACACGAGTAGCTTGCCAGGCTCTGTCGTGCGGGCTAGGATAGACCTCCAGGTAGTTAGCCACGCTATCCTGGAGCGGAACAGCTTTTTGGAGGCTGCCGAATCGCTTCCCATACTTGAATGCATCCATGAATGTATTCCCAGTCACTTGAATGCAAGCTTTTGGCTGTGCCGACATGCAGGATACCAACCGCACACACACAGAGCGCACCACACACGCAAGCATGCATGGATGCGCCTGAGTGGAGACAGCTGGTATGAATCAACACAGCACTACAGAAACAGGGAGTCCATCCCCTGAATCCACCTGCGTCTCAGGGCAAGTACATGGTGGCTTTTGGTCCGCGATTTACCCCCTATCCGCCACCTGGGGTCGCGCCACGTAGCCTCGCCACCAACCGGCTCGAGATCTTTCAGTGAGAGAGGACCCTCAGTGAAAGAGATCCGTGGGTGTTCTATATTATTCCTAATAAATATTCCTTACACTCCTAGTGTAAACTCCAAGGGGAAACTAGGAACCATCCAACCCCCTCCCCCCATCCTGTCGGTAACTAGTCAACCTGACACCGCCGGGTTCCGAAGAGAACCTCGTTGACTCCCGGTACTGAGGGGGACGGTCCGCCACTGCTACGACACAAAAGCGTCAGAGTTTTTTTGGACGTTTGACTTACTTAGGTTTTTTGTTGCTTGGGAGCGTGATGTGCGTGGCAATATGGAGCAGACCGAATACAGAATTCTCAAGAAATAGCGGAAATTTTTCGTTCGTACTGCATTTACTCGGAACACAACCTAAAACATATCGAACACTAATAGAACCCAAATGAAATTAATTAGATTTCTATTAAAAATCAGAAAAACCAAGACCGAAAATTATTTACTAGTAAAAACAAAAGAAGTGGCAATCGATTGAATGACATGCTGGAATATCTAGAACAAGGAGCAGAAATATACAAGAAAAACGCAACGTTAGAGGATCACTTGACATCTGCAGTATTTTCAGCGTAGCCGGTGCACTACAGAGATCAAGAGGTTGCAAATGAATATGATCACTGAAGGATCGCTAGGCGCATACGAGCTTGGTGAAGTTTGTTGGAGACAGATGATAGGGTTATGCCTCAGCTATGGTTCATTTACAGCTGAACGAGGCAAGATTTTAACCTGTTCCCTGCCCTCGACTGGTCCCATGCAATCATGAGAGCTTCACTTCCTTTTGTCACGGAGAGTCTTCATGAACCGTTAAGCATTTGAACTCAACGCTTAACCCAAGGTGTCAAGACCGCAACCACACCCTTGATTTAGACAGCTTGTTGCAGCCGTACTCTTTTCACACCATGCAAATCCTTTTCAAAATAACTACACGAACGCCATTTCCTAGAGTATTTCCCATGCTGCAGGAGTATTGTGTATGGTCTGAATGCAGAAAGTATTGAATAATACAGCACAAACAGGGGATTATTTCAGACTTCAACTCCCTTTCAGAATCAGTGATGTACGCGTTTCTTCGAACACTCCAATCCAAAATTTCTACTCTCCCCACAATTTTAATAATTGTTATCAAGGAATACCTGATGCTCATCTTGTTCACGCGACAAACGTTTCTCAACTGAAACAATCCCTTCTCCAGGCAGCACAACAATTTTGGAAATTGTAAATAGCTGAAATAAATTGTATAAACATAGCTCAAACCCATAAAGTTGCTAGTGAATCAATGCAATGTTTGGTTCGCTGTCTTTATGCATATTTTTGTTAAAAAAGCGTTTTGAAATGATGCGCCGTTCCGCGTGACTAGAGTGAATTTAGGTACTATTTTCCCTTGGTTCAGATTTCCATATAAACTGAACAGCTAACAAATTTTTTTCAGCTTAAGGTGGAAGTGTCGCAAAGTAGCTTCATCAAATTCCACTTTGCAGATTTTGGCACTATTGAAACAAGTCGGAACTTCAAGAAGTGTGGGTCCATCAGAATCAAAAAGTACATAGTATGACCAAACATATCATTCAGAAATGAACTCGATATTTAAGATGATGGAAGCTACGCAGGTCTTTTTAAACTTGATGGCGATTTCTTGAACTTTAATGAAAAAGTCAGCACATCCGTCTAAATGCTAGCCGAGAAGGTTGCACTTTCGAGCAGCTGACATCACTTCCAGCAAGGACGATTCCCTTCTGACTGTCGATGCATGTGACAAAGAATTGGATTCTTTGAAACAACCGCCGGCGTTCGACTAAATGACTAACACTAAAGCTGAAACTCCACTTACTTTTCAATTGCAAAGTTGCCTCACTGACGTCTTTCCACAGGACTGATGCACCACAGCATTCTGATACGGTAAGCAAGTACAAACTTCTCCATTTGTTCTTAGTGTTGTTGTCCGTCGAGTACGAATTTCCAATCAAGGCTCTCCAAAGATCTTAGATCACCCATCGGTTACAAACAGGTCGGCAGCATTCATGAGGAACTTCACGTTTTTCGGAAGTATACCGACGAACGCGAACGTTGTTGGTCAATATGGATGCAGCATCAGATCTTCGTTGACATGGAGGTGCCAGCGGAGACGGGAGCGGGCAAAGCAGTTGCCGTTTTGCTGAACCTGTTTTGGTTTCAAATGCGGTCAAGTCGCCCATGCATTCAGCATCAAGCATAGCACAGCATCTTCTTCCCTACTACCTACTAGACCTACCTGATGAATCTCTAGCCGGCTACTTTCACTTTGTCAGCAACCTCGATATTTCTCATTCGAGACACGCTTCAAAAACAAGAAAAAGAGAGAGGGAGTCAAAAAGAAAATTCGACATTTCACCAGTTATCAAAGCCCAGAACTTTGTCCTAAAAAATAAGTATGTAATAATAATAAGTTATCCTGCTCAGGTTGAGAAAAAGTGCAAATCACAATAGTTCGCCTAAATAACTATGATCGCAGAGATATACTTCCGGAAGTAGGAGAACAAACACTTGCACTGATTCCCAAACAACTTAACACCAGCTGAACAAAAGTCATAGTAGTTCTATGACGTTGTGAAAACAACTCACCTTGATACCATGTTGATATTTTGCTGAGAATTTCACAAGCTTTCCAGGTGATAAGTTGACTCGTAGTTGCTCCGGAACACTGGAGTCATTGCCATTAATAGCAATTTTCGTTTAATCAAAAAAGTATTTGAAAACATTTCGAAGGAAACTGACTCGAAAAATATATTTCCATGATTCTTCGAATAAACAGATGACGAATTCAGTACCACTCCCTCAGCGTCCTCTACGATTATCTTCAAGAATGCAGTTATCAAAGGGAATGCTGTTCGATTGTATCCTCACCTAATGGAATTAATGGAATTCTCAGACCACATAAAATAGCGAACCAGCATTCAAGCCATATATGAAAGCGAGCATGATACCAAAATGAATGAAGCCTCTCCATGATTCCACCTCATCACCCTCGCTGCTCTACTACCCTTGAGTGGTCCTTTCCCTTATTGTTTGTGCATCACTTCATGTGCACAGGAATTAGTAACAACTTCACATTCAGTTGCGAAGTTGCTACTAATCCACTGTGTAATTCTTGGAACTATGATCAGCGTTTTCTTTTTCTTAATAGCACAAATTGCCACTCAACTTATTCCACCTATCCTGAGCCCCTCCACCGCATTTTCAGATTCACTAGCTTTTGGCGATCGCGTATGTGAAATGTGGAAGCTTTACACCGAATATCACAGTGTCGCAAATTGAGGCTCCAACAGAGGAGAAGGTATGTTGCTAATAGAACATTAACTACAGTACCTCAGTTTCCTCCATCCACTTTTCCAGTTTAGGTGCTTTGTCCGGTTGGACGTCAACAATGCGGAACCGCAGATCAGACTGATGTGACGGTTTATCCTCCAGTGTTACCTGATTTTACTTTTTATGAAGGAACATTCTCTTAATCGGTCCAAGACTAGAATTCCAACAATAGGAGCTAGACAATTACCACAACGGAGCTGCGCTGATACGCGGAGAGATGCAGTAAAGCAAGAACACCACGTGGATCATCGATGTATCCAAACTGTTCACTTTTGAAAAGGCCAGGGTAGTTCTCCACAGCTTTAACTGATGTCCTCAACTGGAAAAACAGCACGAAGATTGTTGTCTTGATATCAAGAGCTTAATGTGTACCTCAAAATATAGACGAACGCACCAGTCCATTTGAGCCTAAACGGCATGGGAGTCCTTTAGTTTTGTACCTTGTCACGATGTACCTTTTCTCGTACTCATTCCACACCGCATCGAATTCGCAACTAACTCCTGCACTATTAAGAGAATGATAACTACGAACACATGAGGTCACTTTTGAGGAAACCAGCACAACCTATTCCGAGAGGTATACTGTCCTTTGCGTTTTTGATAAGGGCAACAACAATTTCATAGTGCGACAGCTCTTTACAGAATATCAACCTCTTGCCTGTGCAAATTCCCTCGACACTGAACATCTCCTAAAGAGTGAATTCTAGATGACGCTACAGTGTGGAAGTAAAAGATGAATACCTGTGGGCACTGCGCTACTTCGGATAATGAATCTGGAGGCACGATCTGAGTTTCGAGACCATCATCATATTGCGGTAAAATTAGCGTAGTGTATTTGGAATTGTTTCGATTCCATGGCTAAACGGTTTTTAAAAGAATGATCGCAAGAGAATTCAAGACACAAAAGTATTACGCTACCGCTGCCGCTGTAATATTGCCATCATGATCAACTTTCTCGAATGAATCGAATTCGACTCGGAAACTACCGTCCTCATCTATGCAGAGATTCAACCAAGCAGATACTGTCACATTGGGCAAAACTTCCTCTGATGTCTTCAGGCCTTAAACCATTAAAAAAGGAAACTCATTACCGCAGTCAAATTAAGATCTTTTCATCACAAATGCGTAACGGTAACAAACTGACCAAGCCGAACATGTGGGAAGTACTGAGACCAGAAGTGGAACTTGTCTTCAGGAGAAACAACTCCGCTTACAAGAATCTGCAAATTGGAAAGATAGGAAGAATGTCAGATCAGAGCCAGATTCATACTATCAGTAATAGCTATAACTAAAAACTTGTGCAATTTGGTGTTCGGAAACTACAAAACTACATCTGAACACTTCTTCTGTGAGATTAAACGAAGTGATTTCAATTGAGAAAACCTCAATGCTTTCGAGGAACACCTCACTTCTTTGGCTATACTCTCCTTCCTTCAGCAAGTCAGAAATATGACCTTCACGCACCTCCTGTATGACTTTCACGACACCTTGGTACCCACCACACATATTACTTTGGTAAAACTTATTATCTTGAGGAAAGATCATTGACAGGTCGTAAGTCAGCTCTTCTAGTGCGCCTTCAATTTTTCTGTAGTTTCTAACCTCTCGTCGTTTTATGTAGCCCCTCACACATTGCCTTCGCAGCAACACCTCTTTACGTGAATCTGCAATGGCACCTCCTTCCTACATTTATCATGATCCTATTTGCGTTTTTCTCTCTGCACCTGTACCACCCTACTACGGTGGCCATGCCTCTCCGTCCACAACCTTTCCAGCATCAGGGCAAGCCTGCTATTAAGGTGTCCAGAAAATAATACGGGTTCCGATGTGTCATATTCTATAAGACATTTTCGGGAAATTTTTCTTTTGATTTCTGTATTATTGCATTTTACTAAGTGGGAAGCCTACTTTATTCTCTTCTTAAACTGTCACTGTATTTCAGAGGAACTTGGGCCTCTGCTTTTTTGAAGGTTTGAATAGAAGACGTCAAGGCAGCAGTTAAGTAAGATTCACTTCTATGAGATGGAATTCGAAGAGAGTGCAGACAGCTGGGAATAGCATTGTTGCGTGGAGGTAAGGATGTTCCAAGAAATGCGCACTGCATCAATGGCTTCGAAGTTCTCAATGTAAGAGACTCGAAATTTTTAAGTGGGAAGGTTTTGGGCGTCAATCTCTGTTGACGAGGACCTTGTGTGGAACCGACAGTAGAAAATCCTCAAATAAGTTATGAGGCCAGCAGCATAACCTTGAGAAACCTATCAAAAATTTTCGGAGCGCCTGAAGGTACTTGGGAAGGTAAGAAAGCTGGACAAGTGGGCACCGCATGAACTGACTGAGCAGCAGCAAAGCCGCCTTGCAGGGATCTTGGCACAACTCGTTTTACTTAATGAAGATGTCCGATTTTTGAGACATTTCGTCATCCTCGACGAAAATCGGATTTTTCGCTTAGATCTAAACATTTTTCAAAAATCTAGGCAGCGACGAACATAACCTTTTCCAAAGAGGAAAATCCACAAGTTGAGGACCATGCTGATGCTTTCGCGGCCTTCCGCAGTGATCTCCCCCTCACCAACTTCAACACTCTTTTGAATGACAAAAAATGTAAGTTTGAGTTGAGATACATTGCTGTGAAGTCGGAGGTCAAAAACACGCATACTTTCTAGACAAGCTAACACTATGCCTCACCAAGTTCCCCGAACGCCGTCACCCTCCTTTTACGTATATTCTAAACCGCATGTTTCCCAAGCTTCTAAAAATGTTGTCATTTGACTCATACACAGTTTCGATGGCGTGGTCACCCCGAGGCTGTCACCCTTAATGAGGTCACTTCGCACTTATACGAGTTTTCGCACCCAATTAACGTTTCTCGCACCTATCGCCTTCCTATCATTATTTGCCCACTCAGGGAACCCCAGGTCCACTACCGATAAGAAGTCGACCTAGGGTGCTTACAGCGAAAAAGTTTGGTACTGCGGGAAGCGGAAGTCTCTTTCTGTCCCCCAGGCCACACTGTGAGATAAACTAGAGGCAATACAAAATCTGTGCGAATTTTGTAACTTTTGATCACACAGAACGGGAGCGCCAAAAAGTCGAAATGGTCGGCTAACTCTAACAAAGCAAGTGAAAGACCTGAAATTTCTGTTCTTGAACACGACACTCGAATAAGGCAGCCACCCTCTGGAACTTGAAAATTACTCGGTTGTTGGTCATATCCACGTCATCCCACTCGATCACATCACCAAATGCAAGCGGACGTTCCGCTCTTCTTCTGTAAACGAATAATGAGATTTAGTAATTTGGAGGAGAGTTCTCTCCGGAGACAAACTAACTTTTGGTTTTTCACGAAAGCCAAATCTAAAGTTCCATTGGATTCGAAGCGAAATGCAGCATCCGCCACGCTGGCAAGCACATGCCTGCATTCATTCTGAAAAAAAGACTTCTTTCACTGCTCAATGACGACTTTTTCACTTGCCTGATCATTTACGACAAATTCCACGACATGATGCTTGATGAGCTCCTGGGATAACCAACGTGTACATAATGTAAGGCCAATATGCTTCATAGGAGCGACCCCTGTGAATAAAAAGGCGGATTCAAGATAAAGGTGACAGAGACGTAAATAATCACGACTCGAATAAACCCATGTGCCGCTGTCAGACTTTGCGACTGGAGCGACTGGCACAAATGATTGGATCGATGAACGCGCCCACAATTAGCCGTTGTGCCGAGAACATTCATTATGCTAACACCTTCTGGTTCAGAGCAGTACTGGCTAGGCTCCATTCAAATGTTGACGACATATATGAGGCCAATGCAGCGCTCAATACTCCTGACGAACGTCGATCACAATGTCATTATGGAGAGATGGTAGCGTTGGCACGGACATGGCAAAACTCTCTCCCTGAATGAAAGGTTGGCATGCAGTCAAGTGAGGGATGCGGCTCTAAGTAAATTCAGACTTTAGAAAAAAGCAACTATAATGAGTAAGTGCAGCGTTAGGTCGTAGTCCTAAGATTGCAGTTCGGAGGGTGTAGAATACCAATTGACAACGCATTTCATGTGTAGGGTAGATACTTTTTGACCATGCGATATTTACCAACAATTTGATCGCACGATCGCACAATCACATGTGAACGATTTGTACAGACCATGTCCGAGAGTTGGTGTGGGCGTGTCACCAGGGGCAGTATTCAATCCTTCCCCCAGGGGTTGGGGGATGAAAATCCCTTTAAATTTTCTCTGTCTTCCCGACGAGGGATTGTCCTGATAAAGGGCTTACGTTTAATGTATGTATGTATGTCAAAGTAAACATGCATTGAAAATGAAGAAACTACATCGTTAAAAACAAATAAATTCAAAGGGATTTTCGTCCCCCAACCCCTGAGGGAAGGATTGAATACCGCCCCAGAAGTGACGCGGCTAGCATGGATAAGCTTCCGCCAGCATGCTTTGCTGATATCCAGCGATGTATGTTGGAAGCAGCTTATCCGCACGACATCTATCAAGTGCGGCTGCTCCCGGTGACACGCCTACCCCAACTCTCGGATATGGACTGTATCTACTCCATAAAAAAAGTGAAGTCGCAAAGTTGCAGAACTGCAGGACTACAAAATATAACATGACCCTAAGAAGGAAGTGCACTGGTAACAAATTAGTTTCACGGAGAATCGAAGGAAAAAAATGTTGAGCCAAGTTTCTCTACGAAAATGCCGCCACGACAACAGCGGTAATTGATGCCGAAAAGTTTCAACCTTTCTACGTTTTTCATTATACGTGGGAACGCTTGAAAGATGTTCCACAAACGACGTCAAACGTGCGCTGTGCCTTCGTTAAGAGAGCTTAGCGGACTATTACGCATATTTATGGCCTTATCTGTGCTTTCAGCTTGCCAAATTGAGAATCTTAGGCTACAAGTTGAACGCAAAATTTGATCACTTCCAACGCGTCTTCGCAGTTAGTTCAAGAGTCAGCGAATCTTTCGTTTCAAAGGTGCGTGGCATGCTTCGCCTTCGCGAGCGTTCCGTTCTCATTCACCTCTATTTGGTCTAAAACTCAACTAATCGTAAGCAGCGAATTCATGAGAATATGCTCTGAACGACTTCGCGCGCACTTCTTAGGCTGCTTTCATACTTTGCGACGTTGCGGACATTGCGGTCCGTATGGACGGTGCGGAGTGAAGAGCGTAAATACGCGCACTGGCACATCATGACGCGTACTTGGCGTGGTGTCTGTGGCTCCAAATCGATAAATTAAATTTCAACTCATTCTGTCCATTTTTTCTTGATGTGTTGTATGCCGTAGTGCTGTCATTCGTGTTTTTCTGGCTCAGACTCTTCATTTTCTGCCTAATCGGTATTTTCAGTTGTCTCTGAACGAGTAGCGTTGTGCAGTTGCATCTGAACGGGCGGTAAGCCCAGGTGAGGCCATCAGTGAGCAAAGACAATATTTCATACAAAAAGAAAAGTTTTGAGCAAAAAAAACACGAACGAAAGCAAGACGGCACACAAAACATCAAAAATAAAAGGAAAACATATTGAAACTGAAATTATCGATCGGAAGCTACCGACTGTACGCCAAGTACGCGTCATGCGCCAGTGCGCGTGTTGACGCTCTTCACTCTCTCCGCACCGTCCGCACGGACCGCAATGTCCGCAACGGCGCAAAGTATGAAAGCAGCCTTAGCGCTTCTCCAGCCAATGGACAACTGAAAGAACCCTCGAATGTTGAAGGCTACGATCGCACCAAGCACTAAACCAATCGCACATTTTAAAAGTTGGGTCTCTGGAAAGGTATCATTAAGGGCCGTATGCTATCCTCCCCGAAGGGCTGGGGGACGAAAATCCCTTTAAATTTTCTCTGTCTCCCAACTGGGATTGCTCTGATAAAGGGCCTACAATTAATGTATGTATGCAGGTGAAAGTAAGGCACTATTGCACTATTACAACCCCAGTGGGGGGTGAGATGGGTCAAAAAATAATTTTCGCTGAAACTTCGGCTATGGGGGTTATCGAGGGTCCTGATCACGAATATGACATTCATTTTTGGCGCCATTGGCGCCATTTGGCGCCACCTGATTTCACCAAATTCGCTGTAAACTTCTGTATAGGGGTTATTTGGGGTCCTGATTACGAATATGACATTCGTTTTTGTTGTTGGCGCTATTCGGCGCCTATTTCCTGCTCGTCTGCGCCCTCGCACTAATTAGATCGCAATCAGGACTAAGCCTTTGAATAGTGGAGGGCTCCAAAGTGAGTAGGCCACTCCCCTGTGGTCTACACACTCCAACTTTTGCCACACGGTGCGTGGTTTACCCACTCCGGAGTTTCACTCCCCTCCCCTAAGCTTAGTCTTAGGCGCTATAGGTGAGAAAGCTTAGAAAAGCAGAAAATATGCGTTAAACAGCACGAATGTCAAAAACGAGTGTCATATTCGTGATCAGGGCCCCAAATGGAACCCCTACATGGTCAGACTGCAGATTGGCAAGCGCCGATGTTTGGCGGTGCACAGAGATGGGGGGGGGTACGGGGAAATAAGGCGGTGTAGGGGCAGTGGGGGGCGTAGCAGCTGGTTAGCGCTTACCGTTCTTACGAACTGCGATGGAGAAGTAGGTGAATTTTCTTCATGTGGGATTGGCGGTACTCAACGGTAATTCACCGATCGGGCCACACATCAGCTTCGCTAAAATCTTTTCTTCTTCATTACGCTCTGCCAACTTGTAGTCGAGGCAGGCTGTGAAGACCGGCGGCCCGTGGCAGTGCAGAGGTATGTGGCGGCGGTACTGTGGAGCAAATTGATTATCGTTCGGTCCCGCAGGGCTGCGAGGCAATATGTACTAATGGAGTATGGAATCCATCGTTTCCATATCTTGGGTTTGTGTGCGCGCACGGCGGGGGCGATGTTCGCTCAAGCGGAGCGATGGGGGATCGCTCACGTCCAAGACCGACGAAGGGCGATATCGCGGCGATGCGTCCATCGCGATGGGTCTTATACGGTAGGGCGCTCGCGAGTGATCGCTCCATCGCTGTCGTCAAGAGACCAGCTGTGTGCCAAAATCATACTGCCTTCATACGGTATTTGACCGGAGCGTTACGACGAATCTTTTTCAAACTTCACCCTACTGTGTGGGCGGTTACAAATCTTTGCCACCCCATCACCCCATTAGGACGTCAGAGTGGGATTAAGGTACCCCCTATTCACCTGCACAAGTCCGCCGTTATCCTCCTCTTGATCCCTACCATCATACGACCTAACAGTGTTTTCCTAAAGGGAGTGCGAGACCAGCCGACCAACGTCCCCAACTCGGAACTTCCAAAAAGTATGCGGGCGCATGCTTTCCGGGATCGATAGGGCGCAATGGACACCAAAAGCGAACGGGCGCGATTGGCCCCGCCCCCCAGTCAATGCAAGTCGGCTAAACGAAATGCCGTGGTAGTCAACGATCGAGCAGACGCCATGAAACATATGCCCGCAGTCAGTCGTGTGCTACCTTTGCCAAGTCCGAATATTTTCCGCGCAATCGCCTTGCCAATTTCATTTCTCTAAACCCTCTCGTCTCCACCTGGCTCGAGCCCTATTGGAATCGACAATACAAGCGTTTTTCGCATTAACTTCGGCTCAACTAAATTCCTGTAATCTCCGGCATTATTATGCGTGATTCAATTACCAAGTTTTAAACGGGCAAAACTGAAGCTGCCCTCCACAAACAGGAACGACATGCTGTCAAAGCTTCGAAGCTCCCAGACGGTACTCGCATGGCTGGCAATATAGCTCGAAGGTACCACAAAATCGTAGCCGGCGCCAGTTATGTCGAGATCCTGGCAGCTCGAGCCACGTCTCGAGGCTGGGTTAAGTACTTGGACCTGGAGAAGAGAAGATCCCCACCAGCCCGCCACCGAAGCGCAACTCCGCCACACCCCCTCCCAACAACAGCAGAGAAAAAGCCAGCCCAGGCCCACCGCAAGCGCACCGGCCCCGCAAGCACCTTTGACATACATGAGACCTACATGACATACATACATACATACATACATACATATCCATGCTCCGCCCACCGCAACGCACGCTCCGCCCACTTGAAATTTTGTATGTGGCCTTTTTTCGAAAATCACATCCAATGACGCCATTCACTTGTCACTTATACATACATACATACATACATACATACATACATATATACTCCGCCCATTGCACAAACTCCGCCCACTTTCGAGTTTTTTGACAAGTTTTTATATCTCCACTCCCAGCCCCTACCCAGACACCAAATTTATACATATACATACATACATACATACTACATACATACATATATACTCCGCCCACCGCGCAAGCTCCGCCCACTTTTTAGTTTTTCACAAGTTTTTAATATCTCCACTCCCAGCCACTGTCCAAACTTCAAACTTATACATACATACATACGAAATCAACGGTGGCACCACCTGGCGCCAAAATGCGCCAATTTGGCGCCAGCGCCAAAAATCGGATGTCTATTCGCTCCCGATCAGAACCCTCGACAACCTCCATAAGGAAGTTCAGTCGGAGAAAGACCCAACTATATTCTCTTTGGTTGTGATCCATCTCAACCCACTTGGGGTGTGTAAAAAATAACGTGATGCAATAGTGCGCCCCGAAACGCTTAAGAAATGGCACTTGAACAATGAAGCAAGGGACTTACATTCGTTAAAATTACCATCTGCGGACGCTGCTGCGACCATGTGCAGCACCCAGCCACGCAGAAAGGATTAGTTGATCTTCTTGTTCTGAGCAAAGATCACGTCAGTTTTGGGCGAAGGGTTACAAAGCCACAGTTACTTTTTCAGGACAGCTGAAGCGTTATCATATACATATTTTCGCGGCTAACGGCCCGGGTAGCCGAAACTTTTGCTTTTCATTTCGCTTTGGGTTAAAATTTTCGAAGTAGTTTCCCATGCTATTGCGCTACTCCGCAACCAAAAAAAATAGGATAACTAACAAACCTACCGGAGGAGTGCTAATGTATAATTGCGAAACGCGTCTCAGGCGCAATGGGTTAAAACAAATAAATTTAAAAAGGAAACTTTGGATCACCTAGCTTGAGGGAAGGATCGCATACGGCCCTAAATGGTGGCAGAGAGATCAAGAGCATTGGACTCACAGCCGAGAACATGTTTAGCAGAACCTCAAACAGGTACCTGCGACGACAAACCCACACAAAAACCTAGCCAAGATTCTTTCTTTGGGGTAGATTCAGCCACGAGTCACAATCACAGAAGTCAAGTGTACGACAAGCAAGTTCCATTCGATTAGTTTCATGTTTCCTCGCAAGCAGGCTGATATACCGCTCCCGTTCAAAAATGGTGATTCACGACATTTGGTGATCGATCTAAGCAACGAATGCCCTTCGCTATTGTCTGAATCATCATCGCCACATCAACGGCACGCATTTCACCACGCAGCATCGATGTGGATCACTAGCCAGGCATCGCGTGATGCGAACCATCTTTTCTTCAATCGGTACAACCGTACTCTATGGATTGAGGATACGATCGCAAGAGTGGTGATGATAGCGAGGGCAGCTGGTAAAGACGGGCTTCGGGAGGGGAAGCACGACAATCACACTTTTCGGTCGTGTGTAGTTGTGTACAGCGAATGAATAGCGTGACCCCATGCCTGGTTTGAGTGGTGGGTGCAGATAGAAGTTGACCTTGACTTGATTGCTGATCTACAGACAGCACCAGCTGGCTGCAGTAATGATCTGTGCTACATCTGACGGTACAGCTGCTTTCACTCACATATTCCCTCCAACTCCACCAAAAGCTTATAACAAGGGCTCGTCCGCAGACAAAGACTCGCGCTAAACTTACACGGGAAAAACCGCCGGACGAGTTTCTGGGCGAGTCTTTCGCGCGCGCCATTTGAATTTGAGGCTCACTCGGTTTCATTGTGGAGCTTAGCGTGTTCAGTATCCCTTTCAGTCTAATTCTACTGAAATCATGGCAGAAAAGAGTCCATTGCCCATTTCAAAGTCGGTGGATGGGTACAGAAAGGCATCAGGGTGTGAAAAGGGATGGAAATGACTGAAAAGGATGGGTCAACTAGGGACTGAATATTTCAACCTGTCAGCAATTGCGTGGCTGAGCGGGCCACATTTTAAATTTGTTAACAAACTTGAAAGGGCGGCGAAGCGCGTATTAGTTGGCTCCTTTGCGCCGAAGTATAACTTATGAGGATATTAACTTATGAGGGTATAAACTGAACTTGTGTTTTTCTCATTTAACACATTAGCAGTAGAACGTAACCTGTGGACTGTGTTGCGACTTGAGAGTGACCAGTAAGCATCCACCGACGGAGAAGACGGTGCTATGTGAGGGCAGGGTGGCATGGGGGTAGGGGTGGGGGGATACGCCGACTTCTGACATTGCTTACCCACAGTAGGCTTAGACTTGCGGAGTAGTTCCTCCTTCCGCTGAGGCTGAGCCTTAGGGAAGAAGGAGCTCCTCCCTGAACGAGCCTTACTATTTTCCACAAGTTCCTTCGCGAAAACTAGCCCTTCGCGCGACCAATGCGGCGATTGGCATATGACCGATCGGCTCATTTTCGCAGAGTCTGACGATCGGCAAGTCACATCATGAACCAATCGCTCCAATACGCGCGATGGGGCGCGACCACTACCGTATTGTGCAGAAGCATCAATAGTGCAGAGCGCCCTTTGTCGATACGTTGGTGCCACACACGGGCCAGTGCATCGTGCCCATCGGCGGCGATTGAGCGGATTGGTCATGCATGGGCTCACGTCAATCGCCGCGCATTCGTCGCGCGAAGCGCAGCCGATGGACAGTGAGTCCCATCATATATGATTGCGTGCAGGCCCATCAATTGACCGATCGCTCTCAATCGCAGGAGTCTGACATCGGCCATTGTCAAGGATCGGATAACCGACTATGGATGCGCCCTTATGCAGCGGCTTCAAAGAGTTGCCTTCATGACAATCGGCAAGAACTGTTGAATAAATCTCTGGAGCAGTCTCAGACTAGTGCCATATGAGATAATCATCGATTTCTGCGTTTTACAATCTTAGAGAAAGGCAATCAAGAGGGTACATTGGTGCAGTGTGGCTGTCATAGGTCAACCATGAGAGCTACATCGTTGAATAACTTCCTCAAAATACAGGGATCCGAAAGATGCGATGCTCCCACACTTCCCACCCGAAAAGAGCATATCGAGAGGACGTTGGTCAGTGTATTGAATCTATAACATATGACATGCTAAAAATGAGATACGACCCCATCTTTCTTCAAAAACTGTCGAAACAACCCTTCCCGTACGTTTGTCTGCGATATCACTTGAAAAATTTTTGCGACACCACAAACCTTGTTAAAAGAACTCTAGAGAGCTGTAATGATTCATGGAGCAATACTGTTCTAGGATGCAAAACTCCGAGCGAGCACTCTTAGAATGCCCCGACAAAACATACAAGCAAATCATCAGATAACAGCCCCATGTTTTCACATGGGTGTCAGCTTGGCGTTTGAGAAAGAATGAAGTCAAAACCACTTGTACAGGGTTGACGCCATGGAATCAAACGTAATCCAATCATACATGTTCATCAAATAATTGCCTAGAAAAACTTTCCCAGCTTTGAAGTATGACGCAGCCTCCTGTATGTTCCGCCAAACTACACATCAAGATGACGGGGAAATAGGGAAGAGCACGCCATACACACGAGAGGTGTGGGCACTAGGGCTGGTGTCAGAGTCCGCGATCCGTCGCAGGTTTCGCTGATTTTCGCGATTTGCGCGAAACCTGCGACGGATCGCAAAAATTGCAAGTGCCCCATTTGAACATTTGAAACACTGAATATGAAACAAGTGGAATCATGAGCAGTCGTCATTCAGCCATCACTATCAAGCAGAAGTGGCGGCAGGATTGGAGAACACCTTGCAGTATTGATCGGGCACTTGTGATTTCCGTGACCCGTCGCGAAAATCGCGAAACCTGCGACGGATCGCGGACTCTGACACCAGCCTAGGACAGAAAGCGACTT